TAAAATCTATTTTACCTGATATGAGTATTGCTACTCCAGCTTTCTTTTGATTTGTTTGCATGGAATATATTTTTCCATCCCCTCACTTTCAGTCCGTATGTGTCTGTAGGTCTGAAATGGGTCTCTTGTAGACAGCATATATATGGGTCTTGTTTTTGTATCCATTCAGCCAGTCTGTGTCTTTTGTTTGGAGCATTTAATGCATTCACACTTTAGGTAATTATTGATATGTATGTTCCTATTACCATTTTCTTAATTGTTTTGGGTTTGTTTTTGTAGGTCCTTCTCTCCTCTTGTGCTTCTCACTTAGAGTTCTTTTGGCATTTGTTGTAGAGCTGGTTTGGTGGTGCTGAATTCTTTTAGCTTTTGCTTGTCTGTAAAGCTTTTGATATCTCTGTAGAATCTGAATGAGAACCTTGCTGGGTAGAGTAATCTTGGTTGTAGGTTCTTCCTTTTCTTCACTTTAAATACATCATGCCACTCCCTTCTGGCTTGCAGAGTTTCTGCTGAGAAATCAGCTGATTACCTTTTGGGAGTTCCCTTGTATGTATTTTTTTCATTTTTCCCTTGACTTTAGTTTTTGTCAATTTGATTACTATGTATCTTGGTGCATTTCTCCTTGGGTTTATGCTGCCTGGGACACTCTGCACTTCCTGGACTTGGGTGGCTATTTCCTTTCCCATGTTAGGGAAGTTTTCAACTATAATTCTCTTCAAATACTTTCTCGGGTCCTTTCTCTCTCTCCTCCTTCTGGGACCCCTATAATGTGAATATTGGTGCATTTAATGTTGTCCCAGATGTCTCTTAGGCTGTCTTCATTTCTTTTCATTATTTTTTCTTTATTCTGTTCTGTAGCAGTTATTTCCACCATTCTGTCTTCCAGGTCACTTATCTGTTCTTTTGCCTCAGTTATTCTGCTATTGATTCATTCTAATGTAGTTTTCATTTCAGTTATTGTATTGTTCATCTCTGTTTGTTCTTTAATTCTTCTAAGTCTTTGTTAAACATTTCTTGCATCTTCTCAATGCTTGCATCCATTCTTTTTCTGAGTTCCTGGATCATCTTCACTATCATGATTCTAAATTCTTTTTCTGGAAGTTTGCCTATCTCCACTTCATTTAATTGTTTTTCTGGGGTTTTATCTTGTTCCTTCATCTGTGACATAGTCCTCTGCCTTTTCATTTTTCCTATCTTTCTGTGATGGTGGTTTTCGTTCCACAGGCTTTGGGACTGTAGTTCTTCTTGCTTCTGCTGTCTGTCCTTTGGTCAACAGTGGGTATTTTAAATAGCAGATCTTGGCTAATTATTAATAGAAAAAAATGTTCTAACAATTAGAATGTCTGAAAATTGGAAAAAGCTATTTTTCTAAGCTTGTCAATTACAGTCATTAGAAGAATTAAAACATAGATTGGATTCAGGGCTAGGCCAGCCTATATGACATTTTAAGCAAATTGTGAAAAAGGTACCATATCTACTGGATGAGTTAATTAAAGTTGCTCTCTGTGTTGATGTATTGCCATGTCAGTTACATGACTTAGTAGAACATGGATTCAGTTTCAGCTACTACTTACCTACTCAGATGGGAAACTTTTGCAATGTCCTCTTATTAGGAATGCTGTAGATCAACTTTCTGAAGTAGGCTTGAGTTTGGAGTTAATGCCCTCTAATATTTATAAGTCTACCTTTCCAAGTGTAATGTGAATATAAATCACTGCTTTAGGTGTTCTGGTCTCCACATAGACCACATTCAAAGAAGCATAATGTCACAATAAAAAGTAATGTGAGAAGAATTTCAGTCTTTACTAGTGTTTCTCAAAAACTATTAAATGTGATCAAGTTTCTAGTGCACAACTTTTCTTAAAATGTTTTTCTTTAACATTTTTCTTCATTTGTGCCTGGCTTAGTTCTCTCTTTTTTCATAATTTCTCCAGAGCAATTTTCCTGTCACACACTAACCCTCTAAAACTCTCTCTGAAACTCCTGTCCATGAGGTTTTCTCTCTTTTGTCTCATCTCTTTCTTCTGCATTTATTCTAGTTTTTCCTCTCCACATTCTTCATATTCTATAATATAAGAGAAAGGAATCATGTTGAAAAAGATAGGATTTTCCTTATATTATGAAAGAATAGGGAGAGTTTGAGCAAGTAAAAAAAGAATCTTTCCTTATTTTTCCCACTACTATCTCTAACTCTCTTTCTATCTCTATCTATTTTCCTGATTCTTTAACAGCACAGTCTGGAAACTAGGCTGAGATAGATTAAATGATTCTTTGGTAATTTCAAGAGTAGGGACATTCATATGTTAATACTTACTGAGTAGATCCTATGTCTGCAGAACCTTCCATTAGATCCTGAGGAAAGAGGCAAAGCAAGTTATGTGAATAATCCCTACTCACACGGAATTTACAGTTTCATGAGTCAGACTGGTTAAAATCACATGCAATAAATTTCGAGGAAGAATATCAATAGACAGTGAAAATGACTATAGCTGTATACCCATGAATAGCCTGGTTACCTGGATCTTGGGTGTTCAGCAAGAACAGAACTGTGGAGAAGCCAGGGGAATTTTCATGGAAGAGGTAAGTATTGAGTAAATGTTTAGACAAGGAAAAAAACATGGAACTAGGGAAATTAGTATAGAGGTAAACTGAAGAGTCAGTGTGCAGCAGACAGCAAGTATACTAACCTGCTAGAACACAGGGTCTAGGCAAGGTGGGAAGACTTTATTCTCACTGGGAATACAACTCTCCATCCTTTGAGCGCCCATAACACTCATTGTGTGACTTGATTGTTAGTTTATCCTATTCTGCCTTTTTCTATTTCCTTCATTAAATAACCCCTAGAAAATAGACAATATCTTCCCCTCCCCCATCCTTCTATCGCATTTCCCACAGTCTAGCAAAATGTGATTCATCAATAAATAGTTGCTGATTTAAATAGAGTTGATATGTAGTTAGAGGAGGGATAGAGATGTGGAGAAAGGGTCACATGCTTGTGCTAGTGAGTTTAAGTGTAGTATTGGAAATCACTGGAAGTTCTAACATGTCAGGGATGTGATCAAAATATTTTAGGAAAAAGAATTTTTCTGTTGTTCTACATGGGAGGTGGAAGATAAGTTCAACTTTTTATTTGCATAGGTGTTACCTGGACATTTGAGAAGAGATATCTTATATAGATGACATGTAGTACTGAACTTTAAGCTAATTTTAGCTATTGAAACTTTTGAATAAATATGTTTACTCTTGAATTTTATGGGCTAGGTAAAGTGCTCTAAGAGTATCGTGAGTGTGAATAAATTTTTTCACAAAGGATTTTTGGTATTGCTGGTTATAATCAATCAATCCTACTCTTGATACCATGCTTTGGAGTGAGATTTTGGCATGTTTTAAATAATGTCTAAGCACATGGAGTTGGAAGAAAACCTGGAGTTGTAATTCCAGATTTATATTTAACAAAATATTTTTAGGAAAGAATTACTGTAACTTTTAGGAGTTTTATCTCTTTTATTGAGAGACTACAGAACTATTTTATCAAACTAATTTCTTTTCCCTCCTGGTCTTAGGATGTTTTAGAGCAATTGCTGGCACTAATATGATTAGATATTTCTATATAGATTCATTTTCAATTCTAAAAATTCTATTCATGTGAATTCTTTGTTACTAACATTGAACACAGATTTTTTTTTTACATGATTGAAACTACACAAATCATAGCTGTTGATTGGTGATTTCAGTATTTAAGCTTTCAATTATTCTTCTCATTTTGTTAACATGGATTTGAATTTTTCACCTAGATATGTTTAGAAAAAAACTTTACACTTTATTTTGACTATAAACATAATAATACTCAGTTTGTATACAGCTTCTGTATTTCTTTGTTTATGTATGTAATTAAGATATTCACCTTAATTTAAAAACAATGGGAAAAAAGTACAGCAGGGAATCTTGGAGGTAGCCAAGGTGTCCAAGTACTTCGTTATTCTAAAGAATTCCAGAAAACGGATCTCTACTCTCTAGACAAATAGGCATTAAAAGGGCTCCAGCAAACTCTATACATGGTATTCTTTTCCTTAACTTCACAATTTTAGTTAATATATTGCCTTTTTGGTTTAATTCGAATGGCACAGCTTATAAATGCAGGCTTTTTATTCTGGGGGCTGGGCCTTACAATCATAAAATAAAGGTCTTTGACAGCCTGACTGTTCCATTATAAAATGTAACATCCTTTTTAAAATAGAGAAACCCCCCAAAAGTCATGTGAAAAGAGGCCAGAATCATAAAAAATATTGGGGACATTTCAAACAGTAGTATGAACCATATGTCATTCCTCAGAAATTTCAGTTACAAGAGTACGAGTGTGAGAATTATATAATTGGAAAAATAGAGAAAACTGAATGAAAAATTCAGAGACAGGAAATAACTGTTGCCACAAATAATTGTTCATTGTATGCATATTTTCTTAGCCCATGAAATGAAATTTCAGTTTGTTTATGAGAACTGGCTATTCTGTTCCCAGACTGGGCAGTGGCTGTCTGAATGTTTCTGTATGAATGAAAATCTCGTCTCCCAGGCAAAAAAAAAAAAAATAAATAAAGACATTTAGCAATGCCTCTTACGTTTCTGAATGTTTTAGAACTGGTAGTTGTTTGATATATTGAAAATATACACTCCCCAAAGAAGCAAATCTAGATTCTCTGAACACATTTTGCATGGCAAACCTCTCTGGCAATTTTATGGTTTTGCATAGCTTGTAGGGAGAGACGGGAATAGCTAAATGCGTCCTGGGTTCATTAGCATAACCCTGCCCACTTCCAACACATGCCCAGAACTACCTCATTAGCTGCTGGGATTTAAGCCAAAGCATAAGACTACAGTGAATATAAGGGGAATTACTGGCAAGAGAACTCTACACCAACTTAACACTGAATCCATTACTTTTCCAAGATGAGAAAAATATTATACTAATAGGGACCATTTCTCCCTCTCATTCAAATAAGAATTCAAGGTTTTAGTCTGTATCTTTCATCTAGCATAATTAGCTGTACCATAATAACATATACAGCCTGGCTGCATATATTTAAGTGCTGTCTCTCTCCCTCTTTTTTTTATTGATTTATTTTCTGGATTGCTTTGACATTGTAAACCACAGACGAGTTGGAGCCTGGCATTGAAAGGAGGTGTTCTGCAACGATTTTTTTCTTGTTTAAAGAAGTTTACTTCTACAAGAGGTAATCTGAAAATGACAGGGGCAAAGAGAAAAAAGAAAAGTGTGCTCTGGAGCAAGATGCATATGCCCCATTGTGAAGACTTTAAACAGTGGTGTAGAAGGCGGCTACCTATTTTGGAATGGGCAACACATTATAATCTGAAAGAAAACTTGCTTCCAGACACTGTGTCTGGGATAATGCTGGCAGTTCAACAGGTGACACAAGGTAATGTACTGCATTTGATTTTCCTGTTTTATGCAGAATAGATACCACTTTGCTTTCTTGGAAGAGTATTGTGACCTAAGATCTACTAATGAAATGTATTTTAATTAACTTTGGGGGAATAAACACATTGAATATCTGTATACAAATGTTTTCCTAGTTGTCTTTTTTTTTTGCTATTTTTTGATACCTAATAAGCATCAAACCAAATTTTTAATGGCATTATATATTTGCAATGTTAAAATTCATACTATATGAGTAACGATCAATAATTTCAGTAATTGTGGGAGAATGAGTTTTTATAGTTTGACCTTGCTGATACAGCTTCCTACTTAAGCTGAATCAAGCTATAAAATATCTCCTGGCTTGAACAAGTCATTTGTAAACCTAATTAGCAGCATACAATTACCTTTGTAGTCTTGAGAGTTGCTATAAGCAAGGAGCAGACCTTTCCGTACATAAAGGAGGCTCTTTGCCAAGATCATTATTTGCAAAGAAAATCCTGTGTGTCCTTAGAGCTTACATTTTCACATGCCGATTTAATTCTGTATCACATTACATACTGTTTGTTTCTCAATACGAAATTTAAACTGTTGAGAAGTCTGATTTTAACTTTCCCAAAGCAGATTATAAATGATATTCTGGATTTAGATAGATGTTTCTTTTGGTGAAAGCTCTTAGGTAACTAGTGTGCATACAGTGTATGATCACATATGTGTTTTTTGTGTGTGTATTTTCCTGAAAGGTATATTCATTGTATTTTTAAAAATTAATTCAGGTAATAATTTTCTACCTGTAGCAAGAAAAGGAACTGATTTTTTCAACCTTGAGAATTTGTAAAATATTCCTTGACACAGATTCTGTAGATTTATATTTTTTTGCAGTTTTACTACCTCCCTGGCTTGAACTATTATTCATACCATTAAATTATAAGCACTTTTCTAACTGAATTATTCTGTAGCTGGAACAAACTGGTTTATGTGTTTCTGTTTTTAGTATGATTAGGAACATCTGCACTGGTGGCTTTACTTTAAGATCCATAATACTATCATACTTTCTGGGATTCCATTTCCCTGAATAGCCTTTTATGATATTTTTAATGACCATTTTGCCAAAAGCAAAGCATAGTAGTCTTTCATAAAAATGCAAAGTAAATAGCAGGTTAAGGCATTTTTTTGGATTGTATTTATTGAATTTTAAATTCGAAATGAAACACTACCATGGACTTTGAAACTAAGGTGATGAGCTTACAAGGACTTTTTCACCAGATAGTTTCAGTATATTTTATAAATTTATTTTGCTTTAATTTATTGTAAAGTGAAAGAAGAATATATTTCTAAAACTAAATATTTTTCATCTTTGTTAAATATCAGGTTAATAAGAAAATTTGGGGATATGATAAAGATACCTGTGATACATCATTAGCATCATCATTTAAGTGTCTTTGGTAGTTAATTGTATGGCTTTTCTTTGGATATAAATATTGAGGGGTTTTGTTTTATGAGTCATGCATTTCACCGGTTATGAAGAAATATGTTACCAGCCCCCGACTGATGAGAAGCACAAAGCTTACTCAGCCCTTGTGTCTTGGAAGTTATGGATCTGGCTCTTGGTTCTCTTGGAAGGCTCCCAGTGATTGGGCAAGGAAGCTACACTGCTAGAAAGAACTTAAAGGTCTTTGTTGGTGTATGGACAGACTAATCCTTCTAAAAGTACTTTAAAAACAATTCTCTCAAACTTTCTCATGCTTACTCACTATGGGTAAATATCGTAAGTTACCATTTGTTGTAAGGGGCATTGTTGTAAATCCCTTATATACATTATCTTACCCTATCACAACAAAATCCCAAATGATAGCAGTCCTCCATTTTCCACATGAGAAAGTGGAAGCTTAGACAAGTAAATAATTTTCCCTGGACTTCATGCCTGATAAGTGATAGAGTCAGGACTTGATTCCAAAGCTAACACTCAACATTTTATGCTTTATACTCTACACTGCCAAAATAACTAGACTTTTCCATAATACCAATGTTATTAGTAATAGAAGGCATTTCTTTGGAAAGGTGCAAACATCCTTTCCTTTAAATTGTCTTTGCATTTAGGTTTCACCCCTGTAGTTTTCAGACTCAAAGGCAGAGTGACAAGGGCAATAACTACAGTAGAACATGGAGTAAGGAAGGCACTTAGATATCATTACCTGCTATTCATGTGAATACAGTATTGGCAATCATTATCAACTCCATTTCTTTAGGAAAAATTAGAAGAAAGAAGGGGTAATTTTTGCTCTTGCATCATAATGCAAACAATAGAAACAAAGATCTGATTTTACTCTACCAGTCTTTGAAGCAGCTTTTCAGTTATTCAACATAGTTGAATTACATGAAATTGTTGAATTCAATGATTTTTAACCTACAAATACAAAAAATTATATACTTCAATCCAGTAGTTGTTTTTAATTCTTCTTTCTCTAGAAATGCATTTAAAATTAAGGTTAAAGGAAACTAACATTTGAGTCTTTTCTATATGTCAAATACCAAGGAGCCATTTTAACTTACTTTATTAAAGATTTCCTAGTTGTTAAATATAGACACTTGTCAGTCATCATCACAATTGATTCCTCTGTAGTATTTTCTGTGTTGACTATAGCCTTTTTAAAACCATTTCTTCTCTTGGGTTTTAGACACTGCTCTTCTGTTTATATTCTGCTACCTCTCTGGCCTTCTCTTATTATGAGCCTTTGCAGATTTTGCTTCCTACTCTATCTACCCATTAAACATTAGTGTCCTGGAGACTCAAACACTGGGCCTTCTTCTCTGAAAATGAATGCCTTAGGCTATTTCATCTGCATCAGAGGCTGTAAACACCTTAACTGTACTATTGAAACTTTCTTCTCAACCCGAGATCCACGTCTTCAACTATACAAACCTAGAATCTCCTAAAAGCACTTCAAAGGCAACGCTAGTCTTCTAAAAGAAACAAACTGAATGATGCCACCATCCTAACCAGAATTATAATAATAAATAATAATAACAGTAATTTTTAGACACAAAAGAACACTTGACATATATACAAAACTGAGGCTTATAGAGAATAAATAACTTGCTTAAAGTCACACAGTAAATGAGTTAGAAGAGATAGGATTTTAACCCAAGTGGTCTGGCTCCAGGGACTATGTTCTCACCTTTGTACCAGACTACCTCTCACAGAGTCTCAAGTCATTCTCAACTCTTCCCTCTCTTTTGCTACTCTACCATCTAATGTACAATCAACCACCAGGTTCTGTTGTTTCTATTCCCTAAATATCTTTCCAAACTAGTAGTCTTACTTCATGTTCCCGGCTACTGCCCTAGTTCACTGACCTACTGAAATCATCGTCTTGTAGGTCTTCATTCTCTACTCTATCTCCTCCCGCAGGCCATTCCATACTGTAGTTGGAATGATCATAAAAATCTAAACATCAATTCCCTGTTCATAATTCTTCAGTGACCCTCTGTTTCCTCTAGGATAAAAACCCGATTCTTCAGAATAATCTATTAGATCATTAATAATCTGGGCCTCTTAATGCAAAGTTCTACTCAAAGAGATCTTTCCTCTGAGAATCCCTCCCAATCTCCTGGGAAAGATGTATGTTTTCTTACCTCCGACTCCCTTTGTACTTTTTACATATCTCTATGATAGGCCTTATCAGATTGCATTGTAATCTTTTGGTACAACTCTTTATGCACTGGTGGGTAAGCTTTGGAAAGAATGTCTTAATCTTTATATTTTTGCCGACTTGTACCTGGTGCATCGACATAGGTTTTCAGTAACATAGGTTTTCAGTAAATGTTTCTCCATATCATTAAATAAACAATTTAGCTCCTGAAGCCTCTGATTGTGGTAACATGCTGCCACTCTAGAAAAGAAATTAAATTTAAATTAATTCTTATGTCTTCAAAATAAATGTAATAAAGATATCGATAGTAAAATTTACATAAAAATGTGAGTAATTAATTTCTTCCAATTTCCCTTACTTCCCTGAATTTATAAACTTATAGCCCACCAGACAAATCTGGTAAAAGATTGGTCTGTGTTTCCTTCATCCCAGTGTTTAATTTTTCTCCAACATTAACCCATCTGTATAGTTCATATGAAAATCTAGGTGCCTGGCTTCTCTTGAAAAAGGGAAATACATGGCCATAAGAGGCCCATGTTCCCATGTGGTAAAAACCTGCTCGCTCCCCCTGTGGACAGGGCATGTGCTTTGTATTTTGCTACAGTTTCCACCATTCACACATCTGCTGCCACTCTTCCTCCTAGTATCCCTATTATCTGCCTATCCCTATGAGTGTCTGGATTTGTATCCCCTGCCAAGACACTTTCTAACATGTTTTGTTGAAATGCCTTGAACTCATTCTTGAATAAAACCTTTAAAAGAGAATACGTAAGACTAGGCTCTTAACTTAAATCCGCACAACTTTTAGGTCTGTGGACTTGCATGAATATATTCTAATATACTTCATTTCTTTTTTTTTTGTTTTTCTTTTGTTTTTATTTTTTTTTCTTTCTATGTTTTTTCTTTTTTTCAAAGAGCAGGCGCTGGGACCCACCGCAGGCAGGCGCACCCATCCGGGGAAGGCGAGGGGTTCTTCCCACGTGCTCTGGCACTCGCCACAGTGGCCACTGGGCTTGGGAGGGGCAGCAGCTGGGGGTTCCGGTATCCCAAGGCTCCCTCTCAGATAGCTAGAGAAGGCTTTCTCACCGACGGCGCGTCGTCCCCCACCCATCGTCTTCCCTTCGAGCCCACGGAGGCGCTCCATGAGACGCCAGTCCTTGACTGGGCGGAGGAGTGGGGCCTGCTGCAGTATGGGTAGGCACACGGCCCACAGGAGCGTTCACGGTCAGGGCTGGGGCATGACCTGTGCTGCTCTCAGTCTCGTCCAGCGGGCTCTTGAAGGGGGGAGCACGCCCGAGAAGCGTGACAGCCTCCCCTCTCGCAGGCCCTGGCCCACCACGATCACCCC